ATGCTCACTGTTTATTCCAGTACTTGGCAAAAATTAAATTATAAATACATACACTATATATATATAGGTATGTATAGAAATGGCACAAATTATCTAAAGTGCGAATAAAATCACAATTAAATCATGCTTTTTTAAGACAAGCCAACCCCCAGCTTGGGGAGGGACTCTTCAATATTATAAGGCCAAAATATATTTAAGAGCAGAAGAATGAACTTTGATCATGTCTTACTTGGCGAGATCCCCATTTTGCATCAAAAGGCTACCGAGTTGTTCCAGTTATGTTACCGATTTCCCATAGGCGTATAAAAATGTGTCAAATCCATACCAGGCTATAGCGTTCCCTCTGCCATTGAGCATACAGTGCAGGGAACATAAGGAATTGTATTCCCCTGTCCGGTTTCAGAATTTTCCTGACCCCTTTTCCTTGTTCCGTACAAGTTGCTTCATGGCGTCTTTGAGGAACGCAAGGTATGGGGCTGCAATCACAAAAACGGAGACCGGGGGGAATTGATTTCACCGCTTCCCTAACACAGATCAATCTGATGCCCTCCAGGTGTTTTGGACTCCAGCTCCTACCATCTGCCACAATTGACAATGATGGCAGGTGCTGATGGGAGTTGTAGTACAAAGCACTTGAAGGACGCCAGGCTGGAGAAAGCTGTCTTAAGACCATACTGTTCCAAGAAGCTGAGATGGGGGAGAATCGAGTTCCTCCCAGGCTCGCCTGAATGGGGGCCACGGTGATCCCCCCTCCTATAGATGGGGCTATCCCCAGGAACAAAAAACCCACTTTCCCATGGAACTAAATGGCAAGAATTGTATTGATTTCAGTGGAGCCGGGAACATGTGACCTCTAACTCCCACAGATTAACACGTGGAATTTGGGGGAATCCCTGCGATGGGGAACACCTTAAAACATAACGCAAGGTCCCACAATGTGGTATAACAGACTTGCCGAAGAAGTCGTTTCCCTAGAATTCCAGCATATACTTGAGATCTGGGACTCCATCAGGGTTCTGTACCAGTGGCCTGAACTGAGCAATGCAGGCTTTTGGTTCGGTTCCACAGGATACTAAGCACCTCCCAAGCACGGGGCCCCCAAGAGTCCCCAAACCCACCCACTTGCCAGCATCAGTTTTCAAGCACCTTAGAAAGGACGCAGTTCTACAAAGCAGGCATCTGGTTATACATGGATTATAAGGTAATGACCCTCGGCATCACGTCAAGACAGATCTCAACTGCATAACACAGAGTATTAAAATCCTGCCATTAATGCTTTGTTTCCTGCCCCGCCACCTTCTGTGGCTTATATAATTCTACAACTTTGGGGGGCAACATACATTCAAATGACGGCAGCAGCCGCGGCAGGGCTGCTCCCAGCTTGAAATCTATGAACAGTAGGATACTGCTTAAAGGCTTTGTGGTAAACATTCTATTGCTTTTTATAGTTTTCCATGAGTGGTGTACGTCCAAGACAGTCTCCAGCGCCACTCCTCGCTTCACTCGCAGGCGAGTGGGCTGTTCAGCCGGTGGGCGCTGGAGTGTCCTTAACTGAGCAGGCTCGGAATGTACACAGAACAGGTCCCTAATGATTTCCACGGCGTGCCAAAAGGTTTCTCGAGGTGGGGACAAGCTGTGCCCCAGGGTGGGGCCCAAAAACATCATTCCACGTTGGAAAGTGCAATAGATAAAGTGCCAGTATATAAAGGCCAGCCTGCACCCCAGCAGCTGCACAAGGGGGTCTAAGCAAACAACTTTTCACCCAGTGTACAAGCAGAGCTACCTGCCTTCTCCTGGGACAAACATCTAGTCCAGAATGTTTGACATGCACTGGCGGGGTCCCTGCAAGGATGCAGAGGCTGTTCCAGATTCTTTCTCCAGGGATCGGATCCGGGACCTTCCACATGGAAAGCAGGTGGCTGCTGCTACAGCACACCGAGTGCGGAAATGCACCATCTTGGACTGCAGAGGTGGGCAATTACCTCTTTAACATTCCCTGCATGTAGAAAATCAGCAGCAGGAAGATGTGTTCGACCTCAGCCATCTCCCTCACTGGCTAACTTTCTATCTGTATTGAGGGTGTCCATTTACATATTCCCCCCCACACAAACAATAGGGAAAAAGGGGACACTGGATTGCATCAAATGTGCATATATCGATTTGTATGTTCAGATGCAATTTGAGAAATCATAAGTATAATTTAAATAGAAACACAATACATCTCACCATAGTGCAGAAGACTGGCCAGATCAACTGTACAGTTGCTCAGTCTGCTGTCCAGGTTCTACCTGCAGATAGGCGAATTGCTCCTCCTCCTTAAAGCCTTAGATCTTTAAACTGGACTTGAAGACAGCAGTCTTCAAAGGGAGGGCATCTTCCAACAGCGGACTGCCCTGTAATAGCTCTTTAAACAGAGGACAGTTCTCTGTAAAGCGGGGCAGGGTGTCCCCCAAGTACATTCCAGGAAGTGTTTCCCCAGGCCCAAGTTTCACTGGCACCTGCTGCAGATGCTGCCTAGAACTGGGCTGCAGAGAAGCACCCACCATGTTAAATTTCCCATAATGCCCCAGAGCTCCCGGTCAGCTCCCAGGAGTCTGTTTCAGGTCCCTTGGAAGTCCAACTAGGGTGAGGACTTCTGTCAGGGAAACCCTCACTTGGCACTTTGCTGCAGTGGGGGTGGTGGGGGGAGGAGGTTTGACCCTGGAGCTGCCCTGAGTTTTGCTGTTAGTCTCAATACAGCATTCAAAGGAACATTAACTATGACATTTCAAAGGCCGCTGAACTGAAGGGCTGGATCAAGACTGAGTCAGTTAAACCCGGTTCCTGCTGAAATCAATGGGACTTACATCACTGCTAACTTCTCCCACTCATTTCAAGGTTACTGGGGCTGAGCTGAATCTGTTTGGATCCCACCAAATGGAAATAGCAGTTAAGGCAAGTCTGTTGGATTGTTCTGCTGCTTTTGGGCACACCACACATGGTCTGGATTGTCGAAGCCCCTTTCTGGGGCTGCATTTGGTTTTGGAGAGGCTTCCAGAGGGGGAGTGCAAGAGCCAAAGGCGAAGAGGCTGGGGCCAGAAATGCAAGACAAATCAGTTCGTTTTAGTTGCCATCTCTTGCTGTCAGTAGCTAAACTTTAGGAGAAGTGTGCCAACCTTTTAGAATGGGGCAGAAAACTGCCAAAGGCCAGGAATGCACCAAACTGTTGGTGATCAAGAGAAAGGGGGCTGAGCCCATGGGAAGTGGGGCTCATGGGGGCGGGGGCCAGACAGACTCTGAAGGTTGGTCCTCAGCAGGACTGAATTTTGCACCTGGATGTGTCTTTTCTTCATTAAAACAGTCTTCCTAGATCAGTGGAGCTTTGACTCTGGGTTTTTATGGACAAATGTGGAAGGCAATCTTAAAGATGGCTTCCTTGGAAGAAAATCCCACTGAATGCAGTGGGGGTGACTCTCTAGGGGGAATCTTTGGGCTGCAGTCTCAGTCTCTTATGGACATTAGAACCAGGAATATCTGAAGCAAGGGTTGGGAACCTGCGACCCTTCAGCTGCTATAGAACTCCCATCAAGTTTAGCCAGGATGCCTGATAGCTGGGGATGATGTGCATCGTAGTCAAACATCTTCAGGCGGGGCACCCACCCCACATCTTGACCTCATGCTTTTAGCATACAGTTCCATGGGCTGGTATTTTTCCTAAAGCTAAAGTCTGGGTGGGGGAGCCAAACACAACTTAAATTTATAAAATCAATACGTAAGTTACAAAGTTGTGGCATTTTGCTTTAAAAAAGGGTAGGGGGAAAGCAGACTCTGTTGAAAGTGCTGCACAGTGTATTTGCACTGTGAAGACCTCGGGGCATGGCTCAGCCAAGGCTATTCGTAAGACGACTGCCCTAAAGCTTTGACTGGAAACACAGTACAGGAGGTCCTTTTGCTTCCTCTGAAGCATCGCGAAGGCTCCCCAGTGACCAGAATCCCCTCTAGAACTTTGCAGAGTCACATCCACTACCATGGGAGAGGACCCTGAGGAAAACAGGGCCCGGCACTCACTTAAAAGCGCAGCCCTTTTCTACCAAGGATGTGAGTCTGGCAAAGAGGGGCCAGCTAGCCCTGCTTCCTGTTGGTTTGCACAAAGGAGTGCTCCGTGGTGCAGTTGCCCACTTCCAGCCCGACACGGGATTGTCTCAGTAAGAAGCAGGACAATGCTTCTTTGGTGGTGGTGCTAGCAAACCTACACAATTTGTGACCCTCCAGCAATTTACAGCAGTCTTAGCATTGAACACAAACCACCTCCTGAAATTCTCTGCCATGTGCACAGGTTGTGGTGGGCAGAATCCTGTTAGCCGATGCAGCAACTGTCTTTTCTCTAAACTTGTGTTGTTCCTGGCATGCATGCAGCAATTCCAGGAGCAGCTGGTTCACCCTTTTGCACCCCTAACAAATCCTGGACTTTGCATTATCCCAGCAGTCACGGGTGGAAATGGAAGCTGCCATAAAAGAGATATAAATATGGCAGCAGATTTGGCAAAACGACCCTCTTTTGTGGGCTAGAGGAAAGAAAACTCTGGGGAATGATCTCAAAAACCTCTCCAGGGATTGTTTTCTCAGCTCCAGGACCGATGAAGCTGCTCTTTGTGATCGTCATGCAGACTGTGGCGGGGGGGGGGGGGGGGGGGGTGATGCTGTGTCACAAGCTGTGAAGACTTGCACTACAAGAAGAGTTCCGCTAGCCTCTCCTCCTGCTTATTACATTCGGCTAGGACTCAGATTTGGCATCCCAGAGAAACTGAAGGGAATCTCCGTCTTGAGAGAATTAAGACCACAACAGTGAAACCAAGAGTTGAGATAAGACATTCCTCTTTGTCCACAGTCAGCACCATTCCTAACATGAGTTCTGCTGACATGTATATGGTGTGCGACAGATGCAGGTTTTTTGCTGTGCCGTCATTATCTTTCTACCTAGGATGAGCAGAATTAAGTCTGTGCTATTCTCGTCAATGGTGTCTGAGCTACAGTACGGTGAAAGTTTGGTGTTTGCTGAAGAAGTGCTGAAATGATTGCTTTCAAAAACAAAAAGCCAAGATTCACTGGATTTCTTCCTGGGGAGGTGGTAGGGAGGGGGAGAAAAGGGGCCGCCTCCATTTCAGGAAGATAAGACATTAGCTTCCTATCCCTATCCAGACACCTAGTTCCATGCAGCTTGATTGAGGAGGGGGACAGAAAATCAAAAAGATACAAAGACCAGATTTCAGGGCCAGTCTATACATTCATACCAAGCATGTGGTATAGAGTTCCTGTAACACTTCAGACTGTAGAGACAAGATTGCTTGATGGGGTGAGCGAGGGGGCATTCCAAAACACCCTACAAGTGGAAAGCTGGAAAAGGGTCTAGTGAAGCTTTTGCAGCTATGCAAGCTTTAACGTATCTTTGCATGAGTTCTACCCAAATCAAGCATTTAGATCTGCAACTACCCCAGCCTCCCTGTAGTATAATCCAAGGAGGAGTATATCACATGCTCTTCTTGTTTTGATTTTTTGAATGTATAGATTGGCTCAGTGTTCTTCAAAATCAGCTACAGTACATTTCTGATGTGTAGTGAATGCTAAAGGAGGAAAAAAAAGAGTGAGCAATTTCCTACTTTGGTAGAGCTTGGATTCCCTACTCTTCCACCCTCTTGTGCCACATTACACACTTTCGGAGGAAGTACGTTTCATGTGGGACTGAGCAGTCCCCTCCCCCCGCAGATTCCTGAAATAGATTTTTAGCTTCTGAGGCTCAGGGAGACGCCTCCGACTGAAGTCTGCTCTGGGGTGCAGCTGGGCACAGTGATCCGTCTGCAGGAGGTGGAAGAGGCTGGCCATGTTTGGTCCAATTTTGGCCATCAAACTGTCTTTGATGGTTCCCACTGTCTCTTCGTCGCATTCCAATAAGCTCCTCACAAGCTTGTTGTAATATCTGCGTTAAGATAATTAGAGTTAGTGCCCATATTTCCTCCCACCAACAAAAATGGGAGCATTCGTAAGGCAAAAGACTTCACATGACCCAGATCAAGTAACCGGGGCAGAAGGTTTGCACTCAAGGAAGGGTGCATGATTTTTCCTGTGACAGCAATTGGAGCTGGGGGGTATTGCAAGATCACAACCGCCACAGCCAATATGGCCACACCATCTGGGGATGATGGGCACTGCAGTCCAGCCGATCTAGAGGTCAGGGGACGCTGCCTTAAGTGGGCCTAACTTGAAATCCAGCTGCCTAAGAATTCCGACCAGAGTTGCACCTGGGACAACAGGGCTGCTCCTCCATGGGGCATTCCCCTGGGGCTGCATCTGGAGGGCAGAGCCACGGGGATGGGGCCGTTCTTGTGTGTCTCTCTCCTGCGATCAACCCGGGCAGACAGCAGACGCAGGCAGCAGGGGAGGAGGAGCAGAATCGCCTAAGACGACTCGCAAAGTTTGCTCCCAAAGAGCCAGACGCTGGCGTCTTAAGAATCTGAAATATTTTTCCAGCCCCACAATAAGTGCTCCAGACATGCAAGACATCTTTCATTTAGAGAAAGGCAATGTTCACAAGCCAAGCTGAGAGAACCCCTTTTAGCACTGAATGTTAAATGTGTCAGCTCTGAAAGCGAACGAGAAAATGGGCAAGAGTCGATTTTAAATCCAATTACACTCTAGTCAATGAAGCTTTTTCATTTGGTTATGGACACAGGAAATGCAAAAGGCCACTGAGGAGCCTACACAACCGATCAAGGGCCTACGGGCCTGCATTTTTCACCTGGGGAACAGCTGCTGGGAATGCGGTTGAGAACAGGACTTCTGGCAGTATAAGGGGCTGAACTGGGAATCAAGGAGTTCCCACTCTGAATCTTGCCTCTCCCCAAAAGGCTGCTCTGGGGGGAAGGCAATCTCTTCAAGCCTTGCCCCCCCGCTCCATCTGCAAATAAGGGAGCTCCCATGCCTGTATATAGGCAGGGCCAAGTTTTTGGAACCAGCTAAAGCCTTATTTACCAGGCTTTTTTGGAATTCGCTTCTTTTCTTCAGAGGCATCCCCCGAACAGTTATTTCTCTATTACTGCTTTCCCCTATTCAGTCATAGTATTAGGTGTATTTTCATGTTCAGCTTGTACGATATCCTCCTTTTAGTGCTTGTGCCCTACTTCGGGATTTTTGTGTAAGCAAACATGGGTTACGATAGCGATGCATAGGAAGGATTTTGAAAGCTTGGAAGGGCTACGCAAAAAGCAAGCAAGAGTCTGATATACCCAGTTCTCCTTTGGGTCTATTTTGTTCTCCGCTCCCCACCCCATGGGTGCCCGATCGTCTGTGTGAAGCCTGCCTTGCTATTCCAACAGCGCTCTCAATAGAAAACAGAAGGGACATGGAAAATCCTACACATGGCTTTTTTGCTGCCCACACAGGGAGCTCCTGTGTAAACAAAAGAAAGACTTTTAGCAGTTGGAGGGGGTTTCTGGCATCCTTCCTTCTTGCTCCTTTACAGCTCAGGGTAGAGCTCCCGCTTTGCATGCATGTATTTAATTTATTACACCCTTTATAAAGTTGATTTATCTAGCCATTTTTACATTTTAAGACACAATGATCAAACCAGTAGAATTCCACCAAAACAAACAACAATATAAAAGGAATAAACACACCAGCACAGTATAAAATATATGAGGTCTTGAAAGGAAAACCGTTGTGCATGGGCCAAAATAATTAAATGCTAAAACATCCTTTTAAAAAAATAAGAATTGGGGTAAAAAGGAAAGTATCAACCTGGTGCCTAAAACGACGTAATGTGGGCACCAGGCAAGCTTCCCTTGGGAGGTTATTCCAGAGTTTGGGCGGGGGACATGGGGCCAACCCAAAAGCCCGCTCATGCTGCTGTTGTCTGAGCCATAGAATAAGGGGCACCTGAAGAAGGGGTTCCATACCTCAAGGTATGGGTAGACACATCTGGAAGGAGGCATCTCATCAGGAAGTCCCAAACTCTACCAAACTTTACAGGTCTATAAAGCACTATAAATTGGACCCCAGGATGAACTGGGGACCACTGCAGGTGAAGGAGGATTGGCATAATATGATTGCAATGCTGGAATTCTTGCACTAGCTGAAGTTACAGGGCTGTCTGTGCAGTGCATGGCAATAATTCGAATGGAAGGTTACCAGCGCAGTAATCACTGCAGCTTGTTCCCCTCCCTCCAGAAAGATCCCTTCCCTGGATCCTAGCTGAAGATGGCCAAGGGCACACTGGGTCAGACTGATGGATCTGGGATAGGTCCAGCAGCACCTCAATCTAGGCACTTGATCCTTCAGGGCGAGTAAGAGTCCCTACAGAAAGTTGATTTCCACTCATTTGGTGTGATGAAGCACACAGCTTTGGTGGAGCTGTCCAAGGTCCTGAACCTCATCCTGCAACTAGGTCCACCATGGAGCACCATGGATACCTCCTACAGCATGCAGAATTAAACCTGCAATGGCTAAGGAGCCCCTCTGACACAAGAGTCACTGGCCAGACCTGGCTGTGCTTCCGATGCTGGACCAATGGCATCCTAGAACAGCCCCATGAGCGGCTGCAGACCTGGAGCCTTGGTATGAACACCAAGTGCGCCATTGTTCAAGCCCATCTCCACCAACTTAGGCAGGGGGATTGCTGGGGAGCAGCAGAGTCCCCAGTCTGCCCCACATGGCCAAAGGAAAATGTAAGTACTCTAGAGTGGTGCTCACTTGGGCAGGAAGCCTGGAGAGCAAGACTGAGTTCCTACGGATCACAGCAACTTTCTTCTCCCCAACCTCAAACCTATTCTGGTGCTGAAACAAGTAGCCAAGGGGACTGCTGGGAAAGACTGGCTCTTCCCAGTTCCTCCATTGTGGCCTCAGTGATGCATGCCAGATGGGCCTTATGGGCAAGAGAGATCTGATGATAAACTATTCAACAGCTCAAGAAAGCTGAAGGGGAGACGGGCAGGCCTGTTGCAGACCCTCAGGTTCTGTCCCTGGCACCCCAGGCAAGAAGGGATAGCAGAGAACTTCCTTACTCGAAAGCAGCCTTTTCCAGAGTGCAGCCTCTGGACGTGCACATGGGGGGCATGTCGTGAGCGGAGCTGGCTGGAGCCGGGGGTCAGACTAGATGGCCCGGGAGACCCCTTCTGACTCGCTCTGCTTCTATGTTTCTATGATATTTTGGACTCCAATGCCCATCAGACCACATCAGCACAGCCGGTGGATTCGCCAACATCCAGAGGGAATCAAGTTGGAGAAGAGCACCTTAAAAGCAGCCTGCCTTGAAGGGAAGGTTCTTTCCCGCTGCTTGGCAGGCTTCTCCATTTCCTCAAGTGGTAAGTGAGAATCAGGCAATAGGGCTCTCACCTTGTTTAGCTGTGGGAGCTTCTCTGTGGTGCAAATCCCCCCCCCCCCCTGCAAGGGAGCGTAGCAACAGCTCCGGCAAGCAAGCCTCATGTGCAAGTTCGGGAAGGACTGTGATGTGTAACTCATTACAGCCTTCTAGGGGCATTTCCCTCGAATGTGTGGCTCTTATGAAGTTATACAGACAGGGATCAGGGAGAAGGCAAGACACCAAATTCCAGTACTCAAAATTCCTGTGTAATAGATAAATTAGATAGGGCAAGTTTTATTCCAGCCAGTTAGTATAATGACTACATTTGGAGTTGTTTATTTAAAGTATGTCTTTAGACTAAACCACTCTCAACACTTCTCATTCATTCTCTCTTGCCTTCGGTCTAAGACTTTGTTTTTAGATGCAGAATGCAGAGGGGGTTTTGCAATAGTGCAGTGGAGCTGGGGTTCGGGGGGGGGTGCGAGCCCCCACCCTGCTTTAGTAGCAGGGATGCCATTATTCCCTGCTGACACCCTTGGAATGCTCTGTTCCCTCTGCATTTGCTTGCGATTCTCGTAAGAACTTGGCTGGGGAGGGGGATGAGTTTCCCCAGGAATAACGCACTGGCTCACAGGACACAGCTGGGGTGTGAATCCACGATGCACTGCAGTGCACCCAGACGCCATTTTGATTGCATTACCCATGATCAAGGGCAGTGCGGCGTTGTTCAAACCTGGTCGCTGTGTTTTACTCAAGGGTTCAGCACTCCTTATTTAAACCACAATGGCAAAAGAGGCTTGCTCAGCCCTTAGGGACGTCACAAGGGCCAGGTTTGGACAACCACGGTGCAACACCTGATGGGTCTGAGTGGGGGCTGTGGGATCAGAATGGTTGCTGCATCCGCCCCGCATACACCACGGGCCATCGTGGCCATGGCTCAGAGACTAAGAGGCCTGGGCAAAGACAGCAAGAACCAGGTTTGGATCCCCCAAAGTGCTTGCAGCTTACTGGAGGGTTCTGATGAGCACCTGGCATCCCAATTCACTCTCCACTGCAGGGTTTCTGCTATTTAATGGCCCCTTCCAAGCCTTTCCATACAGTTGCATGAAACGCCAGTGATGCTGTTCCTGTGCCGGGGGGATACGAATGCAACCTCAAGGCAGGTGGGCCAAAGGCTGAGGCGAAGGTCCTGTCTTGCTCACAGAAGGCCCCTGGTTCAATCCCAGCCTGAGACTGACTTCAAGCCAGAAGGTAAGATTGTCTGTGCAGCTCTTGGAGAACCACTGCTAATCAATCCAAACATAAGGGGGAATACAAACACCAGCGTATTTCTGCTTAATGAACATACTGGCAGTCACTGAGGCTCGGAAGATGCAGTACCATCCTGGTACCACAAAAGGGAAAAAGTCTACACGAAAGCCAGGAAGCTGGCAAGTGATCCCAGGCACAAAAGCAGGGTGAGAACAAGCCGCCGTCCAGATGCAACTCCCAACAGCTCTCGCCAGCGTTGCCAGCACTGAGGGGTGATGGAGTTGCCATCCAAAGTGAGGTCCAGATGTTCCCCATGCCTAATATAAAGAAGGTCCTCTATTGTTTTAAAAAGATATATAGAAATCATATTGAAAACCTTCTAGTTTTTTTTAAAATCACAAACCCTAAATCTGCAGTATTAATTGAAATCACAGGAAGGTGCTCTAACCCTTTAATGACTTCCTGCTTGAGCACAGCGCCAGTAAACCCATTCTTAGTTTCTGTACGAGTCAGCTAAGAAAGCAGGATGCCTTCGGGAAAAACCTGAGGGGAAACTGATGTGCAGGGAAATCCTGTAGGTTGAGTTTCCAGCAGCACTCAAAGTTTTTGAGTTCAGATGCTCAAAGCAGCGCAGCTTGGAGACTCCCCGGTGGCTCTTCGCTTCCTTTATTGTGGAAGCTTTCCCCTCCCCATTGAATGCTCCATTCTCTCATAACCTTTGCCAGAAAAGAAGAGAAACAACGACTGCATTGCCAAGAGTTACTCGGTGCAGAGCAGCCGAAACACTTAATAGGAAGCAGTCAAGTTCATTATTAGCACGGGGAATTTGCATATTATTACTGTTAGCCACCTTGATTTTTACGTGGAAAAGGGGGGATACAGTCAAATAGGCCAATGAGGTTGGATAAAGGTCTCCCTTTACTCAGCACGCCTCACGCGCCTGGCACTTGAACATACTCGTACAGCGAGGCGATCAGTATCTTTCCAGCGCCTACCTGTTTGAGAAGTGGTTCGGGAGCTGGACAACTTCTGTGATTGCTTCTGGGTTCCTTTTCGCAATCCCGCAGATGTTCAGCTTGCTATAACACTCCTCCTGCACCTCGGAAATCATCCGCTGGAATGTGGAGCACCGCCGAATGGCAAGGAAAACCTTGGATGTGACGCCATTCACGATGCACTTCAAGCTCTCCTTCACAAAGGCTTTCCCCTGCCAGTGGAGAGACAAGTCAGTGCAGAAGCCCAGCAGTGGGAAGACGATGCCCCTTTATCTCAGGTGCTGCCCTTTAGCCAGCTGTTATTAGTGACCCCTAGCAAGAATCAGCACATAGGAAGCTCCTGCGACGACAGACAGCTGCATCCCAATGGTTGCGTTTTGCAGCAGATTACTGCACGGGAGCACTACACACCTCGGGTCGCAGGAGGAGCTGCGTACAAGGCACAGGACTACACCGAGAGGAGCAGGGCTCTGCATTATGTGGGACGTCCTCTGGTTAGGGCAGAGATGGGAAACCTGGTTTGTTGGGGACCTGGCGGAAGCCCTTCCAAAGCCCTGCTGCTTCCCCTAAAACCTGGTCCCTGGAAGGATACTCCAAGGAAGCAGAAAGTTCTGGCTGTGAGGGAGGAGACCCCCCGTGCGCTGCTTGACTCCCCTTCTGCATTGCAGGAAAGAAAATGCAGAGCGGGGTGCTGGATGGAGTGGGTATGAATGATGCCCATGTGCCAGGACTGGGGAGGACTGTTGGTGTGTATCCCCTTGTCCGTGGACGTGCATTCGGAGTGCCGGTGAGGCCTCTGGGCCAAACAGAATCCCAGGATCCCACTTAGGCATGTCCCTGGGCAAGAGACTAACCATGCATTTCTCTGCTAACCCCAGAGTTCCCAAGATGTGGTTCCCTCTGCCTGGAAATTACAGTTTGGCAAAGGCCCATGAATCCTCAGCTCTTAAATTTCTAGGATCCTAGAGGCAAAGCCACACAGGGCTGCCTGTAGCCAACCTCCCTCGCTAGGAAGAGAGTGTGGTGCACCGGCTGGAGCATCAGACTCAGGCCAGGGATACCTCCCTATCCCAGTGCCTCCTATTAATTAATAAAATTTCTATCCTGCCCAATAGCCAAGGCTTTCCTGGCGTTCACAGCAATATTATATTATATTATTATAGTCTTTCTTCCTAGGCACTTAAAAAGGGAAATGCACTGCCCAGATAGTATCCGAAGATACTGTTAGATAGCGTGCAGCAAAGGCCACTGTGTGGTAGAGGTGAAGGGTGATGGCTTCAGGAAACCTACGTCTAGTCCCAGCTCAGCCATGTAACCCGTTGGGTGGAGTTGAGCTGGTCACTGCCTCTCAGCTTAACCAACCTCATAGGGTTGTTGTTGTGAGGATAAAATGGGGAGGAGGAGAAACTTGTAAGCTGCTTTGGGTTCCATGCAGGAAGAAGGCAGGTGGGATAGAAATGCAATGTAATGATAAGGAGATCTGTTGCTTAAGGAGAGGCCCCCTTGTCCTACAATAAACCTGGCCTGGGTGGTATCCTAGGTTGGCCAGCGGCCAAGTCTCAAGTTCCTAGTTAGCTGCAGCACAAGTTAAGCCAGGCTGTTCTGACTTCCTCGGCAACAATTCTATCTCCTCCCAACTCCCAGAGTAGGAATGGCTGTGGCTGAAGAAAACGGGTTTCCTCTTGGAACGGAAACCTCCTTCTCCACCCCAATAGACATCCTTTGCCAAGCCTTCACACCATACACAGGGTGGAAAATGTACAGTCATAGAGCAGAGTCCTTGTTCTCCTGGCGTGCCTTCTTTGCAGCAAAATGCTTTAGGTGAAAAGGCCACTACAAAGACTTCAAAGCATTACGAAAAGAGAAAGCACAGCGCAGGGGGAACATTGGAAGCTTTCCTAGCATCACACACTTCTGGCTGAGAAAGCTGCAGCTTTGCTTCGCATAGTGACACAATCCTACTTTGGGAAAAGCAACACTGCCTGGGATCCGGCAGTAACGCTCACTTGCGCTCAGGGAAAAAGAGTCACTCCATTTGGGTGCCAGGTCGAGAATGCCGGCCGGGAGTTGCTCAATTGCATGGATCGCTACAGGGCAGCTGCTGCTTGTCTGGTCCCTCCGAGTCTCTAGTTGCTTTGATTTTTCAAAAGCCACTTTCCAGCTGAAAGGTGGACAGAGATCTTCCAGGTGTTCCCAGGGATGGTCTTCCAGAGGTTTCAGGCTATAACTCTCATGAGCCTAGACAACACTGAGATATGGAGGTTTTAGGCCAAAACAAGCGAATGGTCACAAATTTGCTGCTCTGGGGGAAGGCTGCAATGATGGTGCCTGAAAGCGTGAAGACCATGCCTGGGAGCGGGGTGTGATTACCAGCAGACAGGGCAAGGAGAAGAGCTTCAGGTTCACCTTTGCTCCCATGTCCCCTGAGCGGCAGATCAATGCCCCATGGTAGGGTTACCGCTTGTAACTGTGAATCATGTTACCAAATTATGTTTGCACAGGAGGAAAAAGAAGTCCTGAAGAATAAAGCACGCTCACTTGGCTTTGGGATGATGGGCACGTGTCTTTACGTGGCATCCTCCTAGATAAGCCACCCACTCCCGTGCGAGTGCGAGATCTGTTCAGGATGTCATTCACTCTCTGCAGCTGTCACAAGCCTTGATAACACAGTTCACAGTGCAATGCTGTTCATGGCGACTCAGGAACCCCACTGAGAAATGTGTGTGCATGATTGCAATGCTGCTGTGCTCTGTTGATCAGCCAATGTTTAATTCAAATTAATGTTTAATTCAACTAAGCTCTGCAGGCTTCAGCAAGTGTGGCACAGGCCAGCTCAGCGCTAGCTTGAAAATGCCTGAGTTTGGAAACCTTGTGTACAGTCCTCAATGTATCATCAAGCATAGGTTTAAATAGAAGAGGGTGCCATGTTCCCAGTTGGAAGAGCTGTCCAGAACGCTCCAGGCTTTCCGCAAGGAGTCCTTCCCAGCCCCACCTGGAGGAGTCGGGGACTGAACCTGGGTCTCCCCGCATGCAGGGCTGGTGCTGTGCCACCAACCCACATCCCCACGCCCAGCCAGTCAGCCGGAAGCTCCAAGTAAAGGACCCGGTTGGCTTATACTGTACCTGAGTGTCAAATTTAGCAGCGCTGTAGAGGAAGGACTTGCAGATGTCGTACATCCCGCCTGTTTCACATGTGGAGTTTTCCAGGCAGGCAAAAGCACCACATCCCACCTGGAGGGCACTATTTAAACATCGAACCACATCCGCTGGAAAGGGAAAGGAAACAGAGGAGAGAGAGGGAGGGAGAGAGAGAGGGAGAGAAGCTTAATGCAGCGTTCTGTCATGCTTCATGTTTCCATAGCAGCTTTCAGTGCAGTTGAAGGTATTTGCCAGAGATTGCCTGGTTGTGCTTTATTGCCAGGATGTGCACATTTACACATCACTTTTAGAAAGCTCTTTGGGCTGGGCCACAGAGGCACTTTTGGTGCAAGTGTCAGCTTTTAGCACGCTGGTGACTCTGGTTTCTGGATCAGAAATACTTGGGCTTCAAACAAAACCTGAAATGCTTTTCAATAAAGCAGGACAGCCTTTGGATGTGCAACCAGCCCAGGATGTTTCTTCAAAACAGCTGCTGCCCGGCCATCTCTAAACAGCCTTCCCTGCAGCACACATCTTCTGCGCCAGCTCCCATGCTTTCTCAGGATGGGCAGAAAGCCTTTGCAAGCATGTGCTGCAGGAAGGCTGCGACTTCTCCAAGCCATTCATCTGTGGCATTTCCATCCTGCTGAAGAGGCTTGCAAAAAATGTCTTCAGACAGTTGCTGCCAGCAGCAGGACAATCTCAAAAACATGACACAGAAGGAACCGGGATTGGGAGGGAGGAGAAAAGGAGAAAGCCCAGGCACTGAATTCTTAGTTGCAAAGTTCAGCAGGCCATGGATTCAGAGGATGGGAAGCCCCTTTCCCCTCTGATGATTGCAGCGGTCCGTAGCAAGGGGAAGGTAGCTTGTGGCCCAGCCTTGTGATTCTGGAAGAGAGACATTCTAAGCTGCAAATGGACTCCCATGCAAAAGGAACACCTGCAGCGTTCCATTTTTTAAGTCAAGAAAGCTGCAAAGACCATTTGGGAGCACCAGTGCAGGAATGGCTCTATTTCCAGATGGAGTCCCGTTTTGCTATTACACTAGCAAAGATGGAACCCCAAAGACAGTTCCCAGCCTTATAGCCAGGGGCTGATGGGACTTGTAGCCCAACACAAGTGCATGACCCTCCACCTCTTCTCTTCCAGCAACACATGACACTCTGCCTTCAGAGATCTTGTTTTTATTTTAGAATGCTATGCTGCTTTTTCAGAACTAAAAAGTTTCCTCAGGGAGCAATTCTAAGTATGATCAGACAGCAAAAACTGCGGCTGTCAGCATGCCCCATGGACATGCTGGGAACTGTAGGACTTTTGTGTCCGAACATGCACAGGTTTGCATCCTCGAAGTGGCTGACTAGTTGACACTTTAACACAATACCAACAGAACTCCCAATAATTAGAAACAAACACGGGCTTAAAATGCCACTTTAAATCTTCACAAAGCACAGCAAACATTAAAACATCAGCCTGGCTGGCTGCCAATTTACAATGAAATAACTGCTAAACAATTCTCACATGGAAGCCAGAAAGAGGAACAAAGAGGGCCAAACATAACTGTTTTTGGGAAGGAGTTCCACAGGGAGGAAGGGGCCAGGGGCTACCAACAGAAAGTCCCTCACCTCCTCACCAGCTGAACTGCAGCACGAACCGTGCCATGAGTTGAACCCTCCAGACTAACATAAACCCAGTTTCACAAAGCAAGCAGGAAAAGAGGTATCGGATAAATGCAACGCTGTGCTGCCTTCACACCATGCAAGCTAGTTCCACCTTCTGGCCTGCAGCCACTGCATGCTCCGCGTCCCACAAAGAGGACCCCAACAGCATTCCCAGGGGCACAGACCCAGCTTTCCTTACCCCCATTTTGAACACAAGTACATGGATCTGCAGAATATCCATAGCAATGAAAGCACATGAAACACCTCTATGCGAAAGAACAACTTCTTGCTCTTTGTCTCCACCCAGTTCTTCTCCATCCTATTCCCCTCTCTTCCCATTTTCCAGCCATCTTCCCCTCTTCTGACCTCTTAGCCTTGCCCCTTCTCTCCCGCTTGCCCCTTTGCCATGCTGTTTCACCGCTGCCAGGCTTGCGCTTGCATCCCATCTCTTCTCCATCCTGCTCCTGGCTGCAAGACTCAGCCCTTCTCATCCCCTGGCCATGCTGTTTCCCCCTCCCTTCCTCCCAGCTTTTGTCCCTGTTTTTTTCTGTATCACCTCCTGATATGCCAGGCCTCTATAGCCATAGCTCCTACCGGAGCCATTTGGTGGTGGTGCCCACAGTAATTTCCCAAATTCCCCGATGTGCCACAGATTTCTGAACGGAGACCCCCTGATTGGAGACCCCCTTCTGAATGCTTCGCATATAGAGAAATACTCCTCTCTTCTTCTATACATTACTGTACCAATTGACATTATTTCTTGGTATCTGCTGCTCTTACTATAGTTATGCAGGCTAGGAATGATGGGGGCTGTAGTCCAGGACATCCAAAGGGCACCAGGTAGAGAGGAAATGGGACTAGTACCTTACAGTAGGGAAAATGATGATGACGATGACAGTAAAGGTTTCATTTGCTCTAAAAATAAGTATTTCCCTTTTGGCTTTGCTTCTGAGCCTGTGAATGCAATCCAAGCCAGGAGCCTGGAACCTTCTGAATTCCAAGGATCATGGGAAACTTACTGAGGGCAAGAGAAGTACCGAGGCAACGGCGGCCTCTCCACTCCTTCCAGCCTGTGACACGCTGAAAGGGCTGGTGTTGCTCCTCTAGCTCTGGTGCTTTGGAGCCGGCGGGGGAGGGGGTAGAGGCACTGTCCGGACAGCTCGTATCTTGGTGGCACTCATCCCCTCCCCAGCCCAACCCCAAAGCCCTCCCCCAAGTTTGCTCTTGCATTCTTTTCACGCCAGCTGCAACTGTACATGGGGGATCCAAGCACAGATCCCCAGCTGCGAGGTTGGAATATTTTTCCAACTTCATAACTGGGAATCCAAAAAAACCCTATGGCAGCCTTGGATTGCAACTTTGCAACCGTCCTCTTTGTTAAATATGTATCTGCCACTCTTTCTAAAATCAGGAATGCCTTCTCAATCTAGATTCTGTTCTCTGTTGTGGTTTATCGTCCTGTGAACCACTCTGGGCTGCACAGAAAATTATGTATGCAAATAAGTGACACACTGAAGGAGAAGGTAAAATGATAAAAGCCAGCAGGGACAACACTGGCCAAAGCCAAACCAGCAAGAACTTGCAGGGGACATCCTGAAGGAATGCAGGTGTCTTAGCCATCCTCCGGGAAAGCAGCAGGGCGGGGGGGGAGAAGTGATGGATCTTGCTTGAACAGAATTCCAGAGGCAGATGCTCAAAAGGGCCTTTGCTGGCAGCAAGCTTGATGCAAGGGAAATGAGCTGCTTTGCCTGTGCTGGGCAGAAACCTGATGGGTGGTGTGTGGACAGTGGTGCGGGGGGGGGGGGGACGACCAAAAGATCCCAGTGCACCTGCACAACCCCGTAGACACTTGTGCCACGGCTGTTCTTCTCGGTGTGTTTCCCTTCCCCAGACCATCTGCAGAAGCACTTTGGTGCATTTTGCCCCAAAGAATAGTTCTTTCTGCTTCCAATTCTGCAACCTTAATGATGCGGAAAACTCACTTTCTGAGGCTGCTGGCTGACTAGAGCCCTAACCTTCAGAAGGCACAGTGGAACAGGGTCAGAAATTTGAACAATTACCCTTCTACTTCCCAAGAGGGAAAAGGCATTCCCCATGTGCCTTGCTTAGTAAACTAAGGCAGCATTCCATGTCCTGACACTCACCAGATACCCATCCACAACTCCAGCATTCCTGACCATTGGCCACACTGGCTCGGCTGATGGGAATTGAAGTCCAGAACTTCCAGAACATCTGGCAAAGTTGCGCCGAGGTAACCTGGCACCCTCCACCCTCCTTACAGCACCACCCCCATCAGCCGCAAGCAGGATGATTAATTGTCAGGGACTATGAGAGCTGTTGTCCAAAAGCATCTGCAGAGGCACCAGGAAACCGTCCTCTGCACCAAACCAGCAGCACAGGAATTCATCCTTTCATGCATTTGAAAATGGATTGTGCATTCAATCCCCACTGCAAGACTAGGAAAATAGGCTCATGCGCCTGCAATTATTTTTACTAGTCTTCTGGGGGCCGTGGAGGGACCATGAGCAGCATTTCTATGCAGGCTTCCCTCCCCGTGGCACCCCCCTTGGTGCTTATGCTTGGTGCAGTCCAAAGAGAGACAGAGCCATCTATCCCCCCATGCCCCAGCCCACTCAGTCTTCTGCGCCCCGTTCCTGCTCACCTAGGATGATCAGGCAGCACTTAAAGAAAAACAGTGTGGCATCATGGTTAGAGCCCTGAAGTGGGACACCGGTGGGCCAGAATGCACTCCCTGCTCAGCCATGAGGCTCTCTGGGTGACTTTGGCCCACTCATCGACTTCGTACTTAGCCCACCTCATAGGGCTGCTATGGAGCTAAAATGGGTGGTGGTGGGGAGATTATGTGAGCTGACTCGGGATTTTTGCAGGAAAAGGTGGGATATAAATGTACTAAATAAATACAGCAAGATGACGTCATAGGTCTGTTTCCCAAGGAAGCTGACATGTCTGGGAAATGCCTGCATGTCAGCTGCTTGCATTCCTGGAAGAGCAAATAACCGGGAGAAGGGATGAGGCCAGAGAAGAGGCAAATTAACCAGGCTTGAGCCTCTTCCTGATCAGGGACAAGGGCCCAGTGTCCGAATTCTTATCAGGAGCCTCCCTGCATCGGCTTCACGGAGAAGGAACTCAAACAGTGCAACCTGAAGTTCCCACCTGAGAACAAGAACTTCAGAAGGGCACCCAGATGCAGCACAATCGCTCAAACAAGCACCGGCCTGATAACTGGTGCCAATCTGGGCAACTGCTTCTAGGCCTTTTGGTCATCACTGATGTGTCCCAATCCCAGCAGGCTGTAGCAAAGGGAGATGAAATGGGAAGCACGGCCATCCCATTCACCCTACTAGAAGACAGCTTGTTTCGCGTCTTCCCTCCGCATCCCTTTTCCTTTCCTATCGTGTCTCGTTAAACCGCAAGCTTGTGGGCAGCCATCTTGGTTTAGCGGATTTTGTGCAAGCCACTCTGGGAGCCTTGAGGACCATTTATTTAGAAAGGCTGATGCCAAGCCTTTGTGGACCATCAGTACATGAGAGTGATTCAGGGTTAGGGCTGGTGTCAGCAAGTTTAAATCAGCCATGAAGTTCGCTGGCTGGCTTTGGGCTGCTTATCTGCCATCCTGTCCTACATCATGGGGTTGTTGTGAGGATGGGGTGAGGGAAGAAGGAAGGACAGTCTTCTGAATTTTGCCTAGAACAGGATTTAGAGATGCTTGTGGAGATTCTTACCTCTCTAACCTGGAAGAGCCATCAGGGCTGATGCACAAATTTAAATATTCCCGCATGAAAATTTTTCTTCGGGCAGCTTGCTGACTACACCAGAAGATTTTTTTTTTTCTTTAGGTTAACCGGGATTAACCTAAAGAAAAATCCAACCTGGGTTCCTACTGAGTCATGCATTACCTTGAAAGGTCTAGCTGTTACCTTCTGCCTGATTGTGTTACAGGCATCTTGGATGAAGGATAAACCTGGACCTTTTTAAAAAATAAAAATACACACCCCAAATGCTACTTTCCCGGAGACCTGAAGGTTTTAGAGGGCATGTAGCACCAGAAACCCAATGCAAAAGCCCTGAACTTCCAGTCTTAAGTATAGCATCTTGCAAAGTACCTCTTGCAGATACGGACATTATGTTCCAATGCTATTTTAGACACTGGGGAAGAGAAAACACTTGATAAGATTTAAGCTTCTTGTGATCTATCCCTTGGTAGCTTCATAACAATAGGTTTCCATGGATTCGAGTTATAACTTTGCATTCAGCAAGCTTAATATGCATTAGGAATCTTATTGTTTCAGGCACAGTGGAACCACTAAGACTCTATGTTTCTATAGCAACCAAGTACGAAAGGAAATGGAGCAAACACCCTAGTACAGCACAGCCGTACAGCCCTGCAGATCTGAAATAAAAGCCTCCCCTGACCAGTGTCAATTAGAGAAGCTGAGTTGCCTGCTATTTCGAAAGAGTGTCCAGATGCAAGCAATACCTGCCATGGCAAATGCCCACGACTTGCAGCGCAATCCCAGGCATCCCTACTCGGAAATAAGTCTCGCTGGATGCAAAGATGCAGGTAGAGCGTTGCAGCTGGTGTTCTGTGGAGCGGTTGCTCCAATAACGGCTAGTTTGTGCAAGGCAGCCTTCTCCAGCCACAAGGCCATGTGGACTGGGGATGATGGGGATTGTAGCCCAACAGACTCAGAGGACAGCAGATGCGGGAAGGCTGGTGAAGGGTATACAGTCCAATTCACAGATGGATGCACCTAATTTTAGGGTGCGTGTTGCTAATATTCCATACTCAAATTACTGGAGTGGTGGCAGCAAAGGTTTGACTAAAAGTTAGAAGCCCCAGTGCAGGGGGCAATTTCACGGAGAAGGGTTTAAAAAAAAAAGGAAAGGCATCTCTCTCTCTCTCTCTCTCTCTCTCTCTCTCATTCACTCACACACACACACACACACACACACACATGGAGAGAGAGAGAGAGAGAGAGAGACTCAGTATAGGTGCATGGCTCCCCAAGCTTCCCAGCACAATCTTTGCACGATGCAGAAAACCCTAGGGACATATCCTGCTCCCCAGTAAAACTATTCAGTCAGTCGCTTGTCCTCTACCTCATTGACACACACACTTATTTCTAGGAGATTTTTTTTAACTAACTTGGCGATGGGCGAAAAATTCTGCCTCGACAAAGGGGCAGGTCCGGGTTCCAACAAAAGAAATGGAAGGTGCAGCGAAGTACGCTGCGTACGGTCCAGAATTTCTTTCTCTCTCAAAAAGGGAAGCAAAACGACCCCCGCCCCGCCCCGCCCCAGCCAAATCCCACCAAGCCATCCCAGGCGAGAAAAGGAAGCATCTCCCGAAGCGAGAGTCGCGTTCTCCCCCCTCTTGCTCGAGGGGGGCTTTGCTGGCCCTCCTCGTCCCCGGGCGAATGGCTTGCTGCCTCCCGGGGGGGGGGCAGGAGAGAGAGATCCCATGCCAAGCCCTCGGGAAGTTCCCGTGCGCAAGCTCGCCCGCGCAGGGGCTGGCGCAGGAGAAGTGCCGGCGCGCGTGTGCCCGGGGCCGGCCGGCCGGCTCGCGCGGGAGGCCGGGGCGCGCGCGCTTGCACACCCGCGCTCTGTGCGTGCGTGCGTGTGTGCGCGCCCGTGTCCCCTCGCTGGAAGGCTCCGGGAGGGGGTGCGCGGAGGGGATACCTGAGTGTTGGGCTGCAAGCCTCGCCTTCCTGGGGCCGACGGAGTCATTCTGCTCCACTTCGTAGGATGCTGCCGCAGCAGCCAGCGCCAGCAGCAAGAGAAGCGCGGACTTTTGGAGCATTCTCTTAAGTTTCCGCCAAGTTTCGTGCGGCGTGCTCTCGTGGGCTTCTGCCTCTCTCCCTTCCTTCCCACCTCCTCGGCTTGAGCAAAGACGCGGATCTGGAAGAGGAGAGAGAGAGAGGATGAGGACTGATGAATGGCACACCAGCGCGAGGGAGAAGCTGCCTCTGCCGCCGCCTTCCCCTCCGCCTGCGCTCCAGCTCCTACTCACTGCAGGTGACCAACCTGGCGCTTTTATAGCTTGTCTTATCGGGCCATCCCTCCCGTCCTCCGGGATGGGCAACCAATCCGCAGCCGCAGTGGGCAGCCAATGGGAAGCTGTGCTCATTCAAGCACAGGAAACCTGGAACTTCATAGGAAGAATTTTTTCCAGCCCATTAAAAGAACCTGCCAAACAAGAATATGACCCCCCTCCCTCGAGAGAAAAAGTTAATTTTCATTAAAGTTAAACAAAAAAGTGTGGGGATTGAGCTCAAACAGTGATCTCTCCACCCTCTGCAATCAGTGGCAGTAGCTTTTGAGTCAAGATGCATGGGATTGCGATGGGGAATCACATAGCGATGGGAAATATTTCCTGTAGGAATACCTGGCTTCAGTACTTGTATATGCATGATGAATGGGTGCTTTAATAACTTTGCTTTTACACAAAATGATGAAATGTAAGGAACCGAAGGCAGACTCATATCACACTTGTTTGTATAATTCAGACTGCTGTCCAAATCTTCACTCTCCCGAGTGCACAGATGATATCAATAGAAGCTATTTTTGGTGCTCTTAAGTACTTTGTGGACCGGGCTACCATAGGATTCACTGTGTTCTTTATATTTCCTACTAACTCCGGAGAATTGCAGTTCATAGGTGTTGAAACGTCCCAACACAAATCCATGTGATAAAAGACAAAATAGTATCATTTAAGAAAAAGATCCACCAAGAACGTATGTTTAATTAATATCCCACCATCCCACTAAAAATGGCACTCAAGGGGGCTAACAATAAGATACTGATTTAAAGGAAAGCATATATTGGTGACATTGTATACTTCTAGCCTAATTTCTAAGCCCTGGTTGTTTTGTTCTGCACCCAAGTGTATCAGCCGTACTCCAACATGCATTCAATGAAAGCTGAGTTATCCTGATAAAACTACAAGCCCTGTGACACTTTCCCAGCTTTTCCTTACATGATTGACTGGTTGATGTTATGGATATAAATGCAAGTACTCATGCAAATACAACAAGAATTAAACACAACATAAAAACAAATAAATTAAAAACACAGTTAAAATAAAACACAACCACTGAAGAAATAAACCACATCCAGCCAACTGGAACCCTCTTCACATACTAAGCCACTTAAATGCCAAAAACTTGCCTGAATAGAAATATCTTGGGCGGGGAAGGGACAGCAGAAATGACCCAGGTTCCTTGGACAGTGGGGCCAGAGCCTGGATGCAGATGTTAAGAAGGCTATCCGAATGCCTCTGATGCTGATGGGACTGGGAAGAGGGCCTGCCCCAAAGATCATACAAATGCAATCGGGACATGCTCTCTTGCTCTCTCTCTCTCACACACACCCCTGATCTGCACAACTTGCATGTTACTTCTAGATGTGGGCACACCATAAATCAATTTGTGGCATGATTTACTAGACACAAGAAGGTAAAAGACCATGGCCAATGGGACAATACAGCATTACAGAAAAACGGATCTAGGTTCAATCGTTGGCATTTGCAATGAGAAGAATTATGGAACGGTGCCATGCCAGGGGCCCTGCTAGCATCTGTGGGTGGAGGAGCAGCCGATCTTTGCAGCACAAGCTGAACTGCTTTCTCCACGCATGGATCTTGGCAGGCCTCTTAGCATGGAGAAAAACCAGCGACACCTTCCATCCCTGCAGGGTCCAGGGGGGATCATTCAGCCCCTCACTGGCCTATGGTGCTGCACCCCTGCTCTTGCTGAATAGGTTGTGCACACACCGTGGATGGATCCGCACGCTTAGACGGAGGGACGTTCGGCAACTCCCAGCATTCCCTAGCTGGGAGTAGAAGGAACGTGCTGTGCTGGTCTAATCCCCTTCCTTTGCCACTGCTGCTGCTGCACAGACAAACTATTCTGAGGGTTGTACTCACTGGGGTTGTGAACCAGACAGGAGGAAGATGCGGCAGCCGTCACGCCCCTGTTGCACGAATCCCCGAGCAAGCAGAAGTGTGATGCAAGAAGCTGCTGGCGTCAGTTCTGATGTTGTTCCCATGGTAATGACAATTTCATAGAAGGTGTGAGGTAACTGGGGCAGGGGGAGGGTAAGCTGATTATAGAAACCCTGCAGATGTAAATGAAGCAACAAGACCCTCCCAAAGTAGGGCCCCAGGCATAGCTGCAGCAGCCCAGCTTTTGTGACTCTTCACCCACTTGCCATCCTCTCAGCACCCCCCTCTCTTTCTACCTCTTAGTCGTCCCCACACATGCATGAACACGTGGCAGTAGCCTTGGGTCAGCCAACTTGATGTCCTCCAGATGGGATGGATGAGAATTCCTCTCATTCCCACCTGGTGGGCTGTCAGATTGAGGAAGGGGGCCTGTTCACCTGTTTCGGGTGGATTGCTGATTCCTACCGGAACACACTTCCAGTTTTTCCTGTCTTGGGATCCTTCGCTGCAGTTCTCCAAGCACGGTTGGCTAGCACCAGCCAGGTTTGCAGGATCAGCTTCAGCCATGGCAGCACAGGCTGGGCCTCTGCAGGTGCCCAGGTCGCTTATAGGTTGTTGTGCCATCCCAGACGGGCAAGGATGAGGTGCTGGTGCGGTGCTGTTGCACGTGGGCACCAGTGCACATTCATCCGTGCTAAGGGCAGTCTGCCGTTTCAGACATGGCAGCCACCACTGACGCCTCCTTGAATGGTTCTGTTGATGGAAGACTCTTCCTCCCCTGTAGGCCTGGGCAAAAACCTGCCCTTGGAATGGATGCCCCTCCTCACCACTGCAACAAGCTCGTTCCCCTACCTCTCACTTGGGCCCAGGATTGAGGCAGTGAGACGAGGTCACAGATGCCCCCATCTACTTACCTGCTTGCTGACTGCCTATCAGAAAAGTGGTACCAAGGATGAAGAAGAGGAGGAGGTGGAAGAGCCACTGGTGACAGTGCAGGGAGAAGGTTGGCTCATTAAAGGCAGGGGGCCTTTGGGGGTGTCTTGCCCAGGGCTATAAAAGCTTGAGGAAGAAGCCTTTTTGGCTGCTTTTAGCACCCCTTGCCAGCCTCAGCTCATTCCTAGCTTTAGCCATCTGATGCCATCCCTGCAATTCCTGCAATTCCATGCTACCTGCCTGGGTTCTTCCCTTGTAGGCTGGCCTTCCTTCCTATTCACGTCCTTTTTCGTTTTCAGATCATCTCGAAGCTTTTTGTGAAGTCGCAGGGACTTCTTCTCTGGTCTTCTATCACTTTTCCTTGTTGGAATTGTTTGTAATTATGCCTTTAGAGTTTTCTTTTCTAAAACTTCCCACCCATCTTGGATTCCTTTTCTCATTAGGGTCTCTTGCCATAGGACTTTTCACTGTTCTCATAGAACACTATCACGGTTCTGAATTTGTTAAAATCACCCTTCCTAAAATCCAGGGCATGTGTTTGGCAACATGTGACTTTTGCTTCCTTCTCAATCAAAAATTCAAGTCTGGCATGGTCACTTTTCCCCAGAGTTCCGGTAGCCTTGTCTATGAGGGCTTGTCCACTAGGTCTTCCCTGTTGGTTAGCACCCAGTCAAGGACAGCCGTTCCTTTCATTTTTTCTTCCACTTTCTGTTGGAGGATGTTGCCAACAGTGCATGTCAGGAAGGGCCATACTTGCCAAGTTGTCTCCCACCAGATATCAGGATTTTAGCCTAAGGAATAAATGAATAACTCCAGTAAGCAGTCCATGGAACGGTGCTTCCAGTGGCGTGTGATGGTGGCATGATAAAGATACAGGTATTAGGATTCTCTGCTTTTGAAGGCTTATCAGCCTGATTTCAGAGATGTTCTTGGGATCGGTGATCCAACAAGGGGGAGGAGTGAAGTCAAGACCCAGATACCAAAACTACTGGCACCTTTTGGCTTTGAGGTCCTCCTGACGGTCCTTAAGGGGTAGGAGGGGCGTTTCAACCCTTTTGTCACGGGACTGCTGGTTGGGGAAGGGAGGCTGGGCCAGTGGAGGGCACCACAGCCTTCCAGGGAACTCTGGACTGGGATATCGGGAAGCTCGTCTTGGCCTCCGGTCTTGGGGGTGCACCGCCCATCCATCAGAGGGCGTGCAGGCTGAGGGACACACGACGGATGAGGTCGCAGATCATTCCTTTCAAGCCTGGCTGCTCTCACTGCACTGGAGTAACCAGGTGCTTGTCTCAGAGGGCAGCACCATGAGTGCCTTTATTCTCTGTGAAAGCGCTTTGCCCGCCTGCCTCCCCTCCATCCCCGCCACCCCCTTTGCACATTAGAAACAAAACAACCCAGACATGTATCCATCACCTTTTAACCTAAAGGGCTCCATCCTAGTGGCTCACCATGAATTAAAATGCAATAAAATGCAACTGCATACGAATGAAACCAAGAGCAGGATAAAACAGAAAGCCAAAGCCTCAGGTGAGAACGGAAGTCTGGCCCTTGAGTCTGATGAGGCTGCCTGTATCTTAAGAATGAGAGACATCACCAAATCGCCTCCAGACCCCCCTGCAGGCCCTGGTCGCGTGCGTTTAGCATCCGCACTAAAATGGAGGGGGCACCGACAGAGGCAGATCTTGGCAGCATAGGAATATGACAATAATGAAATAAAATAAACAAAGAACGGGGCAGGAGGGACCTGAGTGCTTGATGCTCACTCTCCCCTCTTCTGCAGAGGACAGCAATTCACAGCCCCCTCCCCGTCTTTTTCTGACCCCTGCCCTTCCCTTTCCTCCTCCCACTTCTTCGTGAAGAAACGAGCTCTTAGTCACAAAATATAAACTATGCAAAATGCATCGATTTCAGTGAATAAATAGATGGCTGAGGCCATTTATTAGCAAAATGGCCAATACAAAGCAAATATATGCACATCAGGCCCTGTTTGCATTATTGCCATGGATTAAAAATGTGTTTTGGGGGGGTCAGCCCTGGGGGCAGGGTGAGCTGCAGAAGCTGAGCTGCCTAAAGTGGGATTTGTGCTCCAAGGGGGCAGCTGGAGGAAGGGTCACAGCAGCAACCTATA